CGACGCCACCACGAGAAATTTCATTCTCAAAAGTAGGTCGCAGTCTGGAGCCCTGGTTTAGGTGAATCAGGTGGATGGAAACTGGAGCGCCAACGGGTCAGCAGCAAAAACCTGATCTTCCATAAATAAAACTCACACAGTGGTGGAGGCAACTTCTGCACAAATGTTTTCTCAGCACACAGAAGAGAAGAATGTGATTGTTTCTGCTCTGAAAAAAACAAACATCGCAAATCTTCACAAGCGGTGGAACATCTGCGAGCGCATCAGAGACGCTGCAGCGTAAATACACAGATTTGAGTGGAGTCGTGGATGTACTAATGCAGTCATCTGGCTCCAAAATCCCGTCTTCTCGTTGTTTAGCAGAAAAGTCTGCTGTGATTAATTCTGCTGCTCATCACACTGAAACTTCCCCTCTGATGGAAACAAGGAAAGTATTTTGTTTTACAAGCTCCACGTCCTCCCTCCGACCGGGTTTACGTGGAATGAGGGATTGTTTTGGTGATGAAGCTGCTGTTTACACATCCCTGATTCAAAGCTGCTCTTTCCAGGGAACACACGGCGTTACGCACATCCATCCAGCTTCATGTGGGAGATCTGGGAGGTCGCTTTAGCTCCTCTGTCTCGGTGACACGGAGATGCACGAGAACAGCGACGAAACAGCGACTTGAAAGTGATTTACTGACTTTCCCAGCATGTTCACCGTTTAACTGAACCCTGAACTGATGGGAAAAGGACACAGAGAAATCAGGAAAAAGGGCAAGAAAAGGAAGATTTCCCGACCGCGAGGACAGCAGGGAGTCTCAGAGGAAGCATCGTATGGGAGGATCTCACAAACCTACATTAAATGATTAAGGAGAGATTGCACTAAACTTCCATCTAATCCCTTGAGGCAGTGATCTTAAACCACGTCTTAGCCGCGTAACGGACAGAATGTAGAAGAAAATACAACCATTAAACCTACAACCATTTAAACCCCAAAACCACACCATTCATCAGATTATAAAACCAGTAAGAACTGTCCAGTTGTCCTTAAAACTAAAAATGTGTCAATTTCAGTTTTGTCTGGAAAAACAGTTCAATCTGAGCTCAAAGAAACTGAGATATTTTGGCTTATTAATGTGACTTTTCATCATAAAAAAATGCCCAAACTAAAGTAACTAGTTTACCAGTTACACAAAATTCAATAATTAATCGATTAGTCGTCAGCATATAAATTGAGCTGTCGTCCAAACTGTGCCCTGAGCAGACGTCTTAAGGCAGCGTCTGAGGAACACCTTCACCACATGAACTTATCTTGGATTCCTGGACAAACCCATTGTGAGTGTGTTTGGGTCTTTAAACGGACGCTGAACATTCAGTGGGCGTCCACAGACGTTAAATAAAGTCAAACAGAAAACAAACTTATTTTTGACTCTTGCAGCAACATTCATGAGAGGTCCTGGACAAACATCCAGAAGTCTGTTTTTGGTCGACTAAAGACCTCCGTGAAAGGACCTGGAGGAACGTCCTGATCTCACTGCTTTCACATGTCCAGAATTAAACCAAACACAGTCGAGCTGCCGGCTTCAGAGCCAAACTGGACCTCTGTTGTACGTCCACAAGGTCCCAGTGAGACCGAACACATGAATGCAGCACCGACAGAGTTTAAATATAGGAAGCTAACTCAAACACATCAGGGTGTTGTTGCTGCTTGATAGAAAAGGAAAACGCTCACAGGTCTCGTTTTCTACGATGGATCCATAAGAGAAGAACAAAATAAACCGATTTAAAGGTTCTTGGATCCACTAAGTAGTTTTTTATCTTTATTTAAAAGACACTGAGTTTGTGGACCTGCAGGCTCCACGTGTTTGATTCAACATCACATTTGGATCTCATCCCGACAAAATAAATAAATATTATGGATGCATTTACCGGTGCATCATATGAGAAAGGCTCCAAATGCCTTTTTTATAGCGTTTGTTATGATTATTTTTAACCTCTATGAAGATGCACCTTTCAACAAAATCACCCTGTTCTTTGCAGAATAATTAATTCTTTCCAAAAAGACGACATCTGGCAAAAATTTCTGCATTTTCTTTTTAATCATATCATCATGCATATGGCTGAAAAACTAAATATAGCATTATTTTTTTTCTAATATCACGCAACCTGAGCCACTCATTTAACCGTTTATCAGGTATGTTGCATCTAAATAAAGTACGAAAACAGTCTAATATAGATTTAATATCCACTCCTCTTTCATTTTTTCTTCAAAATATGAAAGTTCAACCATTGAAGTCCATCACTGGAGTAAAGAAACGATATAATTCAGGAGTTTTTATCCACTAACAGCACCAGGAGCAAATGTAAAGGAAGGAAACTAAATTTTACATAAATGAGCTTTTTAGATGTTAAACCAAAAGATGTGCAAATGTTCAGCAAATAGTATGAATGTGTCTCTGTTGTTAGAATACTAGGAGGCGGTGCACTGAAATAAACAGCTGAAGGCCGGTAAAGTCAATCAAATATAGACTGTATGTTTGCTTCTGGTGGTAATTTAAGGATCTGATGATGATATATTTCTCGTCTCGAGTGGAGCAGAAGCTCAGTTTTTAGTTTTCGTTGCACTTTTCTTTCACTAATACCAAACGTAGCCAAGTTTAAAAACCTTTTCATGACTTTTTGTTGAGTTTTTTGGCACTTATGCTGCAGGAGGAAGGAAATAAACGACTGCTTTGCTAAAAAAAACTTAAAATTTGTTTACTGTGGTGCGTCGAGAGAAGTTGCAGCAGTAAAAAAGTTGAATGTGTGTTTGGGAGTTTGATCCTGGAGGGACTTAAACCCCCAGAGAGGTATAATTGGGCCGCACTGTTTACTGTTTACAGCGCGGCCAGAGTTGAACAGCTCGGAGGTTAATGACCCGCCAGAGAACAACAGTATGGGAGAGTGTGAGAAAAGCAGCTTACAGCCCGACTGGTCCCACTGGTTTGTTTCTGAACATCGGGCCTCTGATCCCACTGACCTCAGTGATCCTCCACAAACACCAGACCAAAGCTCCCGGCCGGCCGGCGAGGTGTGTGGAAGACTTACGGTTTATTAGTGCGACTCTTCGCCCTTATTGGCTGGATTTAGGACCTCAGAGTTCAGATGGTTGGAATGATTGCACACCGAGGCGGGGAGAGGGAGGCTCGCTGGAGAAGTGTTGAGGGATTTCTCGATGTTATCAGAGATTTAGCAAACATAAAACAAGATAAAATATTTCAGCCAAGCTTTGACCCAAACAACTTACATAAAAAATCCCTTTGGACGGGAAAACTATTTAATAAACCTTCTCTCAGGCGGCGCAGGAGAAAAAAAGACTTGGTGAGCACAGATAAAAAGCCACTCAGTAAAGCCGTTCTCCTCCACAAGTGATGCACAAATATGGGATTATTTATCCTAAAAGCTATGAATGCTCCGGAGAATGAAAGCAAAGATGATATGAGTACAACCGATTTGCACAAACACCCACATCCACGGACTGTTGGCCTCAACGACGTCCAACGAAGACGAAAACTTTTGGACAAACTGAAGGTGAGTCTAGATTTTGATGTGAACAAGAGACGACCTGAGACTGACCAGAAGAGTCAAGCAGCAACCAGACTACCTGATTCTAACCTCTAAATCCCAACTAACACGGACCTTGTGTTGCTCTTACTGATGACTGGTTTCCCAGATAGAAAAACAGTCGACTAACTTCACAAGAGCGCCTCTAAATGCCAAGCTGGAAGTCAGAAAAGCCTCCATCAGTGTTGTTCCTTTAATGGGGGTTTACCAAAATAAAAAGCTTATTTCAGCTCTTAGCACTTCAAGCCGTCCACACTGGACCAAAACCAGCTCCGGTTGTTGGTTTAAGCAGAGAAAATGACCTAACTGAGCTTCTATTCACCCAGATAAGGCTGTTATTCTCCCCACAAGATGAAAAATGGTCACTTCCCGTCCTATCAGCGGCGTTTCGGATGAACGTGGCTGAAAACACAAATCACGTCACATCCTTCGCTCATCAGAACCGACACCGGGGGTTTCCTACACCAGAGCTGATGGGTCACGGCGGCTTCAGACTCATTCCTCAGATTCACAGACGGAGATGAGAAGGACGTCTAGTTTGTCAGAGAATGTGGTTCAGCCGGTTTGGTTGTCTGGCGCCGGACTGACCACCATGTCCCATGAGGTTCCTCTGAGACGAAGCCCACTGTAACTGGGTCGTAGAGGTCAACCAGTCTAGCATTGTTCTGCCCCAGTCTGACCAGTAACTCCAGTACAACAGGTTGAGCCTTTTGACAGCAGAACAGGGTTTAAACTGCAAACCTACAAACTGTGAACGAGCTAATTTACCAGTTAGATGAATGAATTTGAATAACCTATGAAGTCTAGAGGACAACATTTGAAGACTGAACTGTGTTGTGTGAGTCATGTTGCAGAAACCTCAAGCGTTGAACAACCAAAAAACATCAAGTGACCAAAGGCTGGTGTGAATTTAGACGCTTGCTGCACTGAGAAAACTCCTAAACTGTTCAAATGTAGGTCAAACTAATATAAATCCACTAGTTTAGCATAAACTAGCCTGACTCTGTCCAAAGCAAAGCAAAAAATATTTACCTCCCAACCTGAAGCCTTTTGTTCAACCAGTTCTGCTGTTTGTTTAATAAAAGAAAAGCACTCAGGTACATCCAGAAGCATAAATCGAGGTTTGTGCACTTTAGTTTACGTATAGTTTAAACAAACAACCTGCAACGTGCGAGTAATGAGTGTTAGAAGTGGATCCTGGCTTCGTTACACAAAGTTAAGCCTTCAAAGACTGAACATAAGATTATATTTTGACTACATTTTGCAGTCAGTGTAGAAAGAGAACCACGTAACAACAACAACAATCACTTTGGATCTTGGATATTTCAGAATTCACATCAACAGAAGAGGAAACACAGTTTGCCCGTTTTGCTAAAACCACGTCAGCAGAACCAGCGTGACGGCGACGGTCTGACCTCTGGGGATGCTGATCTTGAAGTCCAGGTCTCTCTCCTCCAGGTGGTACAAGGCCACGTCCTGTAGCCGGGCTCGCTCCAGCTCCGACAGGCTCTGGATGGGAACCGGCTGCAGCCGGACGCTCTGCCCCAACATGGTGGCCCACGTGTGGTCGCCCTGCAGAGGAGGGAGGTTGAGGAGGTTACAGACAGGACCACGATTACACACGATTATTAGCTTTTATCTCCAGACTGCAAAAACAAACGTTGACAATTTAGCCCAAGTGGAAATCTCTCTGCAGGCTGCAATTAGTGACATTATCAGCCGACCATCAAGTTCTTGAGGGCAAAAAAACCCCAAAAACCTTGAAAACGTGACTCACAAGCTCCTGATTGTGCCTCGACTTTCATCTTCCTCTCAGATACCCTCTATTTATTATCATGATTCCTCTCATTGTTTTTCCAAGAAGCAGCTTTTATACCATCTTATTCTCTTATTTTTAGCTCTCGCATTCTTCTGAAGGACCTATTGTCTTCGTCTGTGGACCCTGAGGTCTCTGGAGAAGGAAAGCCCGTTCAGGCCTCTCTCTTCAGGCAGAACAAAGCGCTTCAAAGGAGAAACTCCACGTAAAGAACGTCACAGCAGTAAACTCGGCTTGTGTAACGGTTGTGTAATGTCCTCTCAACGCTGAGGAAAACGGAGCGACATGTCTGGGTGGGAATTAGATGAATTAAAGATCTTTTATGCACCATATCTGTGAAATATGACCAGAGATAGAAAGCTCTAAATCTGTCTCTCCTCACAGTCCAGGTTCTCCTCCGTCCTCCGGCAGGCCGGTTTGGTTCTTACATAAAGCTGACGTCGTTCATGGCCGCCCACGCCGCGTCACGGTTCACGTCCATCACCGCCAGTTGGAACGACACGGCGTGCAGCGAAATACCAAATGCAAAAAAAAAATAAAAAGTCTTCTGGTAAGTTGGCGCGTGAAACAAAAACGCCTTTTAATGGCAGCAGGCGGCTCCAGCTGATCAACACATCGCGTCTGTGCATGTCAGCCAAACAACAGAAAGCCTTCGGTGGACTCGGCCTGCAGCTGAACATGCAGAAAAAATGACAGATATTGCAAAAAAAATCACAATTTAGGTTCATTTTTTCCACTAAAACAGTTAAAAAACAGATTTATGGCATTCCTACTGTGATGTGCAGCACCATAAGGGTCTGGCTGCACTTTTATTCTGCTGTGGGGGATAAACACTTGGTTTGTTTGTATTTCTTCCCTTTTTAAACAGTGATGCTTAAACTGTCTTTAAAATGAATAATTCACTGAAGACCTCGAGCGCTGCCTTCATGCACCATCCAAACCTTTTGTAAAACTTTAAACTTTCAGCATCAAAGTGGATTTTGAAACACGTAAAAAGAAGGACAAAGCTGTGTGAATAAATGGCCACATCACAGTTTTGATCACGTTCAGCTCCAGCCAATCAGAACCATCTGTAATCCAAGTGAAGGCTGCAGCTGGAGATTATCGGTTTCTAAAGTCTGATTCTGAACGGCGAGCAGGGAACCTGTTGTAGACGTCAGAAGGACGCTTCAGGTCGGAAAGAGTCAAAGTTAACGAAGTCATTTTTTATCTTCACACAGCTGAGAGCAAAAAGGAAAATAATCTCCTGATTTAAAGACCGTCAGGAGCTACGTCCAGTCGTCCTCACATGTTTTCATCCCATCACATTAAAGAAAAGGCAAAATTCACACTCAAATAACTAGAAACTGAAAAAAGTAATAATAAATAAAAATGTGCTAAATTATAGTTTAGTGAAATAAGACATTGCTTTTGAATTGTGGTTGAAAAGAAAAATAAAAAAAACCAACTGTCCTGGACAAATGAGAGCACTTTGCTGATGAGCAGTGAAACCAGAACACCTGTCAACAGGTGCAGAAGTCTGACTGAGAGTTACAGAAACACCTGATTGGCTCAAAAGGTTGTTCAGCTAAATATTAGTTTACGGGTCCCATCATGCTTATTTTTTGTTTTATATTTATATTTCTGTTGAACCACAATTCAAAAGCAACGTCATGATTTTCACTAAATTTTTATTTATTATTACTTTTGTCAATTTCTACTGATTTCAGTGACTGAAGCTGTTTTTTTCCTTCTTTAAAGGGAGGCTATGAACTCATCTGAGGACGACTGTTCATACACAACAACGGTGAGCTTCTGCTAAACCCTCCTGACCCATTTGATTTGACTTTCTGCTGAGCTCTGGTGTCTCTGCTTAGCTTCAAGCTGTGAACTCCAAAATCTGAAGGACTTTGAAAGACAGAGGAGACAGAATTCAGTCGTTTCACAGCACAGGAGGAACCTCAGCATCACCTTCATCCATCCCAAAGTAAGTTTTTACATAATTCAAGCCTTTTCAGACGATAAAAGTCAGGATGATTTATCCTCTGCGGCATCTGTTTTAATTACAGAAGTCCTTCTCATCATTCTCTCTTTTGTCCTGCAGCTTTGGCCGTGAAACACTGAAGCGTTGGTGCCTCTGTAGGGCAGTTCAGCTTGATTTAACGGCACGATTTCACACTAAGTCATAAAAGGAAAACACTGCAAAGGACACTTCAAGTACGACTGCACACACACTGCGGGGTGGAATAAAACATATGTGTCGCCGAGTGAAACGCTGCCACGCAACACGCCGACAAACAAACGCGGCTATTGCTCGTCCCAGCAGGTTCCCTGCAAATTATTTGGTTCCTGCAATAAATATTTGAACGGATGAAGAAGCTGCTTGGACAGGCCGAGCTCCAGCTCCTGTAATCATGTTTGTGAGGCGACCGTATGTACGTTGGTGCGGCGCCACGGACAGAACGGCCCAGTTACACATCTGCAACGTTCCACTTTCACCACCAACAACATTAAACTTTAATCTTAAAATCAAAGCTTGAGTTTATTTTGGGCTTTTTCACACAGCGTGGATTCTAACAAAACAGATCAACAGTGAAGACAGACGATGATGCAGATACTGGAGGAGGAATAAGCGAGAACGAGGAAACTGAAGCGAGACGAAGTTTCACAGGTTAACGAGAAGCAGAGCAACTCTCTGGATCCGTGCTTCGAAGCCCGTTCAGCCTATCAGACGTGTCGTAGCCATCGAGAGGCTTTAAGTCTGAGGAATTTGCACAACGCATGTAAATCAATCAGCCACTAAATCCACACAGTCGGCTTTGAGAACCCACAGATTTACTGGTGCAAGCCGAGGCAAAGTGAAATCTGGTTTAAATCTCCGTTTGTGCACCAGAGCCGTGTTTGTTCTGTTTGCTGCATCTAATTTAAAAGTGTATTTAATTAAAGCTCTGTTATAATAAATCTCATTTGTCAGCTTTGGTGGAGGCAGTTTACTCTTTTGGATTCTGTCAAGTGGAAATTATTTAAGTTTAAGTGTGAAAATGAGGTTTATTCTCCTGACGTGCACGTTTCTTCAGATTTTGCTGCTTTTTAAGTAAAGAAAATTAAAGGAGGTAAATCATGTTTTACATTTGACTCAAGCAAACACTTAAATTGGAAAAATTAAAGGTTTCAAGTTGATTTTCTTTAAACTCCAAGCAAGATTTTGGAAAAACTGAAGCGATTCATCTGACTTTCTCTTTCTTCAGTGTGCTGCTCAACAACATGCAAAACAAAGTGATTATTATGACAGATATTCATCATGATTTTAGTGAGAATGATGGTTTTTAGATTTCTTTTCCAAAACAAAAATCAAAATGAAGACAGTCTGTAGAAAACAAGCATCTTTTCTTACATCTAAAGACTCTGATTTGCAGGCCGGAGCTCTTCTGCGGCACCAAAATGCTTCATTTACAATAACATGTTGTGACTATTATCTGGCTGACCCACGCTGCGGTTCTGAGGATATTGTGACAAATTTTTCAGCTCTGATCCGACTGAAGGTCACCTGCTGGTTGGACGATTGCACCATCGCTTACGTAAAAACACGAAAACAAGAGTGTGAAAATCCAGAAATATTGGCTCATCTGACATCTTTGTGTTTTAAATAGTTGCGGTATGTAGTTAAATGAAAGCACATGGAGGGAGCAGAGGGGTGACGTCCTTTTGTTAACAGCTCACAGACATCAGAAACATGACAAGAGGCCTCATGTAGAGCTGATTTATATGAAGAGGGTTTAAGGCCGCGGATGAAGTGACGGCCATCACAGCTGTCAGAAACACAAGATGACACAGAAAACACTGGTTCCTTAGATGTGTACGTAGTTATAGTGCCCACTCAGTTAATGATTGTCAGTAGAAATGTACTAAAGTTCAGCTAAAGTGTTTAAATCCACAAATATTCTGTGAATAAACCACACAGACGAAGCTAAATTTGCAGGATAAGTGAATGAAATGATGCACAAAACTGCAGTGATGGAAATATGCAGCCTTAAAACTAAATACTGCAGAATATTTTGCTTCAATGAGGAGCCAAACACAAGCACAGTGGAGTAAGAGGGATTTATATTCCAAAAGCCAAGCTACTTAAATAGTGAAATGAAAGGAAATTGGATGTCTGAGGACTCGGCTAGCGGATAAATCAGGATCACATTCGGCGACAGTGCGCTGCTGTATTATTTATCATAGAAACCGAGACTTTTAATTGCTGAAATCAGTCAACTTTCCTCTTTGAGTGAAACTCACACGACACGAGAAGCCGCATCTGTTCTTGATTTGATATTATACGCTATATGGTGGAATGTGCAGCATGAAGAGCTGCTCTGGGGTACGTTTACTGTGGTTGGGCTGCTCTCAACATCTCTGCTAGTCTATTTGTTTCTTTAGATTACATAGCGACTGAACTAAACGCCAGCAATCAGGGTGTTTCCTGGATCTGAACGGGCCTTTAGGGGGAACTCACACATGACAGCAATCATGATCGGTCCACGTACAGTGAAGACAGGGAGTCTGTGTTAGCTTTCTGACAGACATCTCTGCATTTAACTGCTATTTCTGACCACTTGATAAACAAAAACGTCGAGTAAATGAAAGCCAAAACAGCTTAAAGGTTAATTTTATTCTCACGTCTTATCAATTTGGCACAAGGGGTTTTCCTCAGATGCTGGATAGAACCTGTTTCAGGGGTGTTGAAAGTTTAGGAAATCAGGAAAACTAGTCGCAATGATGAAATAAAACT